CCTTGACATCAGCTGGTAAGATACGATCTTCGACCATGCGCATGAGCTTGATAGTTTGTTCCGCCAGGGTGAGTGTGAGAATCTAAAAAAAAAACTGTCAGTGCAATTCCCCTCCACAGAAAAGAACAGAGGAGGAGGAGGAGGAGGAAGGGAAAAAACATACCGTATGCGGCAATATCCTTGCCAAATGAGCAAAATATCCCTTATACAACGCCAGCACACCCTCCGTCCTCACCGTCCTAGCCAAACAATCAAACGCACTCGTGTACAAATTGCCCGTTTGATTATACATGCGCGACATGATTGTGTCTGGTGGATGCATAACGCAGCAAACCACAAACCCACTGGCGGTACTACTCGCTATATGCAGCGGCATACCCTCCTGCATACCCAAATGCCTAACCAAGCGTCTCTTTGCAAAAAAGTACGTCGGAAGCTGGACTGAGCTGCCAAATCCCGTTCGGACCATGGCGGGGCCCACACCGCGGTATAGTCCTTTTATGCCCTCTGAAGAATAGATTTGGCGCATGCCGTCTAGCGCGTTGCGGTAGTGGTGTTGGGTGCCGACGGGGAGGAAGGGCGAGTAGGATTGGAGGCGGGTTTTTACGAGGAAGAAGGGGGAGCCGGCGGCGGCGCCGAGGATACCGGATGAGGCACCTGCGAAGAGGTTTATGGAGAAGGATTGCAGGGTGGGGTCGTGGTAGAGGGTGTTTGTGAGGGTTTTGCGGATGGGTTCGTAGAAGCCGAGGCGGCAGCCGTTGAGGGTCATTTGGTAGATGTACTATTTTCTCAACTTATCAATATATCTTTTTTTTTGCTTGGGGGTTTTTTTTTGGAAAACGTACTGCACATCCTAACCCACGTAATAGGCCTCGAGGCCCTTCATTCTTGAGAATAACGCTGACGCCGTGGAAGACTCCCCGGTATAACCGCGGCGCATCGCTCTTTGCCTTTAGCTCGCCTTGTAGTTGTAGTCTGGGCGAAAGCGGTCAACCAGCCTATTCGCTTTTCGGGATATTTTTTTGAAGGCCAAGCCATTGGGAAGAGAGTGATTGTTTTGCGCACCGGATCTTGACTGTTTCGAAGCCGTGCGTCACTGTCACGGCTCCGCATGCTGCTATGCCGCCGGCTATGAAGGAGCTGGAAACGGTAGACATTAGTTCCGTGGTTTCTTGTTGATCAATAGAGAATAGCTTACCCAAGGGTTGTAGACATGCTGCGCCTTTTATGCGACTGAGCGCTCTGACTTGGAGGTTCCGAACAGGTGTATCGCCGTTTGAGGTCCTACGACAAAGTCGCCGTCTACCGTTTCGTATGTGTGTCGCCGTTTACCGGATGTTTGTCAATTTCAAGGGGAAAAGGAGTGTAGGGCTCGGAGTCAAGACCGTGGGAAAGTCAGAAAAAATTGAGAGGTGTTGTAGTGTACAGATGGCAAATGCAGGGCGTAGTAATTGTGAATAAACTCTCGGGGGTCCGGTTTCGGCTCAAGGCTGGTTGACGCTGTGACCCACTTTCTACCTCGCACCGCATTCTCATGCGCGCATTCCGCCGGCTCTAGCTCAGTCCCACGGTCGAGTCGCGTCAACCCTCACGCCTACGGAATTGCTACACTACGCATATGGACATGTAAAGGAGATATCGAGCTAAAGATTTACGAGCTCCTCCCTACCCAAGCACTGCAATGGCTGGGCTAGCAACGCCCGGCGGAGGACCTCCTCCACCGCCTGCAGGCCCGCCGACACAAAAAGTGAGCGACGTCATAACGAGCTTCCGGCCTCAAAGAGTAAGAGGTCCCTTTAGCACCCATGATACCTTGCGCTCGCATATTCACAATGTCTATAGCGCTTCAAATCCGGCGGCCACGGCACGTCCATCACCTCGCTCGACTTTGACGACTCGGGCGAACTCGCCATTGTAGCCCGCGACGATGACACACTGCAAATCTACAACTGTAAAGAAGGCAAGCATGCAAAAGAGCTCAAGAGCCAAAAGTACGGCGTCCACCTTGCGCGCTTCAGTCACCACGCCCAGAGCATCATCTACGCCAGCACAAAGGTCGACGATACCATCCGCTTCCTCTCCACCCACGATAACTCGTATATACGCTATTTCAAGGGCCACACCGACACCGTTACGTCGATTGCCCTGTGCCCGTCCAAAGACGACTTCATCAGCTGTTCGCGGGACAATACGGTGCGCTTGTGGAACCTACAGTCGCCAAATTACGTTGGCCTGCTCAATCTACATGCGCCCTACCTCGCTGCCTACGACCCGTCGGCGACCGTCATTGCCATCGCTTCGCCGCCGACGCAATCTATCCTCCTCTATGACATGCGCAACTACGACAAGCCGCCATTCGCCACGTTTGACCTGCTGGAGTACGAGCAGCGCTTCATGGGAGGACAAAAGGTGGACTGGACAAAGATGGAGTTTAGCAATGACGGCAAGAGTCTAGTCGTAGCCACCAATGGTAGCGGCCACTTTGTCCTCGATGCCTTCTCCGGCGATATCTCGCACTTTTGTTACCGCAAAGCTGGATCCTCAGGGCGCCTACCGCCCGCGTCGTCCGTCACCAATGTCAGTGGCGCTGCACGTAACGGGGACACGCCTGCAAACGGCCAAGGCGATGTGTGTCTCACTCCAGACGGTCAGTTCTTGATTGGAGGCAGTGGAGAAGACGGCCTGCTGGTATGGGATATATCCAAGCCTCCTGCGCCCAATAACATCTTAGAACCAATGGAGAAGCTTCCGGGTCAGGGCAAGGGTGCTATTGTCGGGTATAACCCTAGGACGAATCTGCTCGCGAGTGCAGATAGAGATTTGTATCTCTGGCAGCCGGATGCCGATTTGATGATTTGAGGAGGGTTTTGGGAAGCCTTGGGTGCTACATGGGTCATAGGTATTGATGGGAATAAGAAAAACAGTCTGGACAAGAAAGGCCGGACCTGAGCGAGAAGGGGGATGTGCCGAATAAAGTGTAATTCGAGCAATCTAACCCAAGGCCATTATGGTCTTGGAAAACAGGTAGACGGACACGATGGGAAGCAGTCCTCGGTCCGAATTGCGCAAAGTCCGCGGTGGATGGTGTTGCCGGATGAGTAGTTGGCGAAATGGGACTCTACGAAGAAGAAGATCACGCTCAAAGAGCATAGCAATACAACCAAACCTGCAAGTACATAGACACAAATACAGTGGAAATGTTTTCCAGATATCCGGCCACGTGACGAATGCGAACCAGAGCGCCAAGCAGGGCACGGGCTGGTGATTCCCTCCAGGCGACCTCTCGCTTGAGACTGTCTGCTTGCCATTGATCGATTTGCAGATCTGACAGAGAGCCCAAGGCGAGCGAATGACCAACCCTGCCACGGACATGAACTTTGCAGCAACCCCCGAATCGAGCCGGACCAAAGTGAATCAGTCGATGAGGGGCGCCTTGTGCTCCACAAAGTTGCTTTTCTGACGCTCACCCCGCACCAGGATGGATTGTGGCGCTGAGCCTCGCACACAAGTCATCTGCGTTGAGTGAGCACAGATGGTGACGAGGTGCGGTGCTTGGGTTGCTTTGCATTTAGGCCCAGCACAGTGGGCCATGTTGCAGACATGGGCGAGTGTTTGTCCTTTGCACCACGGCATGCCGAGATTGGACACATGAATGACAGCAGCGAGCATGGGGTGGGCTGACAAGATAGGGTGCAGACACAGCGTAGAGGCAGGATACGACGGCTCACGGCGGACTGTGAAACCATCGTATACAGGACCGACGCGTCGCCCATGTCGAGGGCCACAGAGCCATGGTCGAGGCTCTGGAGGGTTTGTGCTACTTTACGCATCCAAGTACGAGCGGCAGCTGAAGAGGCAGCCAACAGGCAGCGCAACCCCAGGATTGCTTAGGTCGCTGGCGCCCGCAGACCCCGGCCGAGGGCGAGGATCAAAACTGGACCAGTCGCCGTGCTTGCACCTGGAGCCGTGAGTTTGCCGTCGACGGGCCCGCTGTCATCTGGCTCGCCCTGGCCAGGATAGCCCGGATGCGTGGTGAGAGACTGACGACATGTCTGCTGAGCTCGTGAGTGCGACGATGAAGAAACGAAGCAGTGGTTGGTTGTTGTCGGAGAGCGAAAGCAGGTCGCGATGGGCTCTGGGGTGGCGAAGGACCACGCCCAAGGACCCCCTGGACCCTTAAGCCGAGCCCCATGGCAGTGCTGGAGGCCTTCTCCGCCCATGACATTGTCGCAAACGCCTCTTCCCACAAGCAAGCACAGAGAGGGGGATCCATGACGGCCCCCCGTCTAGATGCAGCAGCCTCACCTTTTGGCCAGCAGAGTTTTCATGGCGCCCGTCGAGGAAAAGAAGCACCGTCCAGTCAGACGGGCGACTTGTCGACGGCACTACTGGCGCACACCTACTGGGGTTCTCCGCATCTTGCCCATAGCGCTGGGTCATTCGCGCCTTGCCTCGTCAACTAACTAGCCATATCACCACGCCCCTCTTCTTCTGCCACTCCCCGACTCCTCCCTGACGGCTTACCCTGCCTCGACTTCTCGACTCTTCTACGCCTCAGACCCTTTCTTGGTATCCCGAATTGAAACCTGTTCGCTGTTCAAAACCGTGTCATCTGTGCGGGCCATGTCCGACTCTCCGCCCTGAACATGGTCTCGTGACATGCTTCCATCTCGACACTGGTGCGTGCGGTCCACAGAGCCAGGCTTAGCTTCGCCTATTCACTAGCACTGTATTGGTTTTACGTTTACTCCTGTGGCCTCGTTCCGTGCCCGTCAACCAAACTACACATACACTCTCACCATCCACACCCGCTCCACCCAAGAATGCCAATTTGTCTGCTCAGCTACTCCTTACCCAAGATCGTGCATGAGTTTGGGTAGCGGAGGATGTTGCGAGCCGGTACCGAGAGCACACGATCAACATTGAACCAGCACCCTGGAACTGTCTGGACCATCAACAGTTCCGCCACGTTACCATTCATCTTGCTTCCGCCGCCAGCCATGAAGCTCACCTTTCTGCCTCGGCCGCCGATATCCGCTTCGAGGAAGCGTAGCCGAGCTGTGGCTGATATCGACGGAGAACATTCATGTGTGCAGAAAAAGAAACGCCGACTTCGATTATTTCTTATTACATCACGACTATCTCCACAGTTTTCACATCCAGCAACCAACATTGTCGACCGAGGCAGCTCAAAGATTGCAGTATGGGCCAAGCAAAAGGCCCTGGGACGGAACTTGCTCCCCAAAGCCGCCATCTTGAACGGTATACGGAGACGAAACATCCTCATGAGGGACTCGTCTGGACTCAGTGCCCGAGTGTCGATTGTTCAGGAAAAGGAAAAGGCTCAGCTTGAACTGGCTCGTTTAGAATTTACTCACGGAAGCGTCGACACATATACTCATCCAGTCCTACTACAGGATCCATCAGTCCCACCCAGTGCCGCCATACGGTCTGGCAACCGCTTTGTCATGTCTGGATCACCCACCAGTTCTCCAAATTCGTCAAGAAGCCCTTCACCCACGTCACACGGCTCACCGACGTCGGGTCCTAATGAGACAGCATCGTTCCGCTCACCAAACGAAGCATGGGTCTTGACTTCACCCCCAACCAAAGGGCATTCGCTGCATAGAGACTACCATCCCCTACCACCGTCTCCGCTAGGTGTATCAAACTACGATGCTTTTGATGCGGAGGAAGATGAAGTGGACCTCTATGCCCATTTAGATGATGAAGGACCCCTGCCAAGTCCATTTGGTGAGGAAGATGACGATGAGGTTGTCCCGTTCTCTCCCGCTGCTGTCACCACCAATGTGTCTACGACAATACCAACCAGTACGGCGCATGCCATTAGCATGTACTCGGACTACACCATGCCAGACTATGGCCATATCGACATGGACGCCAACTCACCATGGCTAAACACATATCCAACTTCTCATTCCGCATCTAAGCGGACAGACTCGTTTGCAACATCGCCCAACTTCCGCCCTTGCATACCGAAAAAGTCGATATCACCAGAGATGTGTGCAGTAACGCCGACGACGTCTGTCTCGCCAAACTTTGCGCCATCAATCCCGATATCACCGAACATGGCGCCTATGGCAACATCGCCCAATTTCGTTTCTACAATGGGACCGCCGGTCATGTTTCCCGAGTTTCCATCATTGGCGGGTGGAAACTCTACTGCAGACTTTCCGCCATCATTGACGTCACCACGTGGGTCATGGGCGAAGAAGGTAAGTTCGACTGAGGAATAAATGATTTTGACCTCTGATAGTTTATTTTGTCGCTGTTCAAAAAATGAAAATAAAAAGGTGAATCCTATCAGGCATTATAGGGTGACGGGGCAAACATGTAATTGTATTCATCTTGCACAGGAGCATTTGGGGGAAAAAAAAGGACCAAAACTTCAAGGGAATATAGGAAGGGGGGATTGACATGGGAGGGAAACTGTAATTTTCCGGCGCAATGGGAGGGGTGAATCGGTATTGTGGGTGGCCAATAGTGTGTATGCATTTTTTTCTATTCTGTACATGTAAGATATGTGTATAAGCAAGGCATATCCTGGTGTTTTGCTGAGGGAGGGATTGGGGGGGAGAAAGAACAATTCAAGTTAAAATTTCAAAGTTCATGATCAAAAATGAACATTGTGGTTTTTTTGTTAATTCTTCGATTCCCCCTATTCTGGGTAATTTTTCCCCTCTTTTTTTTAATCTTATGACCGTTCTACAACGAAAGTGTTTTTTTTATTGCAACTTGGCCGCACGATCAAGCGCAATGTCGCACATGGCCTGGATAGCTTCTTGCCGCTCGGCCGCGATATCGGCGCGCGTAATGCGATCACGCATGTTTTGCATGATTTCCGGGCGTGAGCGGCCGTTTACGAAGACGCTGTTTTTGTTTTTTTGCATTTAGTTACCATCTTTGTTCCCTCGGGAACCGCACATTGGGTGAATTTATAGGAGAAAAAAAAGAGAGGAATGGGATAAAGCTTACACATATCTCAAGCCCGGAAACACAGCCTCATACTCCTCATTCAACACCTTTAGTTCCTCGCCCTCGCCAGCCAAATTCGCCTGCTCAGACCTACTCTGCTCGCTTTCTACTTTCTTCGCGCCCAGCCGCGGATGCGCGCTTAATATGTCTTGTAGGCGCTGTGCGTCGTCCGGGGTGGACGAGGCGGCTAGAGCGCGCAGTTGGGTTCCGATGGCGGTGATGAGGATGGCGTAGGAAGGGAAGGTTGTGCTGCGCAGGACGGGGAGGGTGAGGGTGTGCAGGGCGGGGCTGGGTTCGAAGAGGAGGTCGAGGGTTGTGGTCAGGGTTGAGTCGGGGGAGTGGGGGAGGGAGGAGATTGGGGGGAGGGATGGGGACATTTTTTTGGTGGGTTTTGGGGTTGGAACTTTGTGGGGGTTGGATTTGTTGCTTTTTTTCTTCTTCCTTTTCTTTGGGTTGGAGATGGGGTAGGGTGAGGTTGCTTTTGCGGTGATTGGAGTATGAGGCTGGATGGAGGGGTGGGAGGGGTGGCACGCTGGGCGTAGTGGACCGGGGATTCAAAGGTATGACGTCTTGTGGGTTTGGGTTTCTGGTTCAAGTGTTGTGGAAGAAGCGTTGATGGATAGCTGAGAAGGAAAGACGTTCAATTGTTTTTCCTTCGTCGTTGGTTTTAAGACTATTTTTTTTTCCTGCTCCCTTCGGCACGGCCGCTGCCGTCCGATCAGCGATGCGGTGATGAATGCATGCTGCAAGGGCAGCGAGATGGTCACTGGTCTTGAAGATGCAAATGGGTGGGTCGTCTTGGTGCGGGGCAGATGGGATTGCGATAGTGGCACGACACTTGTTTGGGTCTTGGACAGACGGTGGCTGGCTAGCTTTGTGCTGGCTTCGATGCCCTTTGGACGCGCATCGTGTTTCTGGTGGTAGAGATCAAGGTGAGATATTCGGCGTGTATATACACTACTTACGATGATGTCGTCATGTAGCTGGCAGATTTCTACGGCTGAGAGGGTCATGGATGGAAGAACAAAACAACTCTCAAAGTCTAGAAATACCAGGTTTCAAGGAATAGCCATGGTGAGGCAGCGATCTCCCGTTGTGACCAGGTGCAGGATATGTAAAACGGCGGGTTGCTTCTTTTCCGTCCTCCCATGTGTGCCGTTGGCGAAAAGCAATTGCGCAATCTGGGGCAGCAACGGCCATAAATACCCCAACCATGACGTGACAAAAAACAATCATATCTCATGCGGTGCCTGGCTGTGACTCTGCGTGCCTCAGGAACACTGATGGAGCTGTGCCGTGTTCCTGCGTCGGGTGGAGAGAGAGACGGGGGGGAGTCTATCAATGCAGGTCCCATTGCCACATGGGCGGCACGAGGTGGTCATGGTAAGATGGTACCCTAAGCATAGCGCAGACACGCAGACACGCAGGTACCACAGCTCTCATGCTCCAAGCCGTCAAAGGGCCGTTTTATTTGTGTACTCTAGGCATGCAAACACATTGTTTTGCTTTGTCGGTGAATAGTTGGGGTCGGCAAAGCTGCGGGCTAGGGGCGTCTCCAGGGCTGCGCGCCGGTTTACCCCTGTGTGCTTGTGTGCCTGAAACGCGGCGTCTCCACGTTTGGCCGTCCATTTGGCCTTGACTTGCGAACTCGCGTCCCCTTTGCAGTTGCCGGGTGCTGCTCAGCGCATTATTACCAAAGCTACGCATATGGCCGTTTGTACTTGTACATGCGCACAATACCTACATACTCGACTGTTGCTGAAGCCCTCGCCTTGCCTCAGTGACCATCACCACCACACACTCTGTCTCTCCCACTCTCTCTCTTTCTTCCCCCCCATGGCCCGTGCCGTGCGCCTCTGAGACCCTTTGCTCTCTCTGTCTCTCTCCTCTCGTATTTCTCCAATTGCGGACCCCGACAAGGTTGACCCCTGTCCAGCTTTGACCTCCTGGATATCTTGATTGCCCGTCGTCGAACGACGAGCGGCGACGAAAAAAGAAAGCCGCCTCTTTCGCTCTGAATACGCACGGCTTTGGAGAGAGCCTGTCCCCACACGCCCGGCCCTCTCTCTCTCTGCTCCACGGCTATCACCATGTCGCTCAACGGGCTCGACAATGTAGAAGTCACACAGGCGTACCAGGGCGCCCTCGCCGAGGCTGGTGGTTGGTACGATTCTCTTGCTGCTTCTCGCCTGCTTGTTTGCGCGCGCAATCTGCTGACATTTGGCGGTCTAGGTTCCTGTTGAGATACACGTCGAGGGACTCTGTCGAGGTCCTCAAGCGGGGCACTGGCGGAGCAGGAGAGGCGCGCGCTGCCGTCGCTCAGTACGAGGACAAGTCACCGCTATATGGCCTCCTGCTCTACCGTCGGCGCAAGGTCTTGGTCAAATATGTGCCTGATGGCACTTCGCGCCTGCTGCAAGGTAGGCCGCAATGCTGACTTTGCTGCATGGATTGCTGCTGACTGCCCATATGTAGCACGTGTCGCTGTCCACTTCATAAACATCTCGGAGAAGTTTGCGCCTCACGATATTGTCCTGTCCATCTCCACCCCAGAGGAACTTAGTGATGCCGCCCTCGCATCAGCATGCAGTCTGCACACCGCCGCCCCTTCGAGCTCCTCATCCAGCGGGTCGTCGCGCGGGCCAAAACTTAGTTGGATCCAGGAAACTGCCGAAGAGACATGTCAGCCAGACTCAACTGAAAAGTTGGCGGCGTCGGAAACGGCGGATACCAGTATACCCACCATAATGGAGCCGTCGAGAAGTAGTACTGAGGAAGACCCCACACGGTGTGCCTCTCTTACCTCGCAAACCGAGTCTGTTCCCTTGATACTGGAGGAAAAGGTTGTTGGCCATAAGATTGTACCGCACATCTCTCATGTCACCGTTGAGACAGTGACTGAGCCACCAAAGACACCGGAGAACACTGATCTGTCAGACCTGCAAGACACGTTCAAGAACTACGACTCGCTGTTTGAAGGCGGACCCGAGCCGCGAAGCTCGTCTCAGACGACGCGGCCAGACTACAACGAGCTTTATGAGCACTACTACGCGCAGTACACCAAGCCCAAGGTCAAACTGGGCCCACGGCCACGCCAGTCACTCGAAGGAAAGCGCCCGGCCACGTCAGGGAACACGTCACAAGACATGGCAAGACAGGTGGCATCGCTCCCCGCGGGGCTGCGCTCTGCGGCGCGAAAGGCGGCCCAGAAGGAGTCCAAAACTGCCTCGTCCAGCGCTGTTCCCGCCATTGCGGTTCCTCCACCACTCGATTTACCTCCGATGCCCGAGGTGCCACACTCGCCTGTTTCGTCGCTATACACGCCACGCTCGCCGATTAGTGTCAAGTCTATGCCTGTTGCTGCGTATAAGAGCCACCTTCGAGCTACGGGAACCACGCAAGAGCGGACGAGGCTGATGAAGGCCCTGGAGCTGCGCAAGAAGCAGCAGCAGGCTCAGCAGGCGAAGAAGGATAAGGCGGTCGACGAGTCGACTGTAGATACTGAGGATCCAGGAGGTGAAGAGGCGGTAGACTCGGCAGAAACGACTCCTACCGAACATGGCGAGGAGCCCGAGGCAAACAAAGAGACATTGCTTGGTGATAATCTGCCCACTTCGCAAGGCCCAAGCAATTCTGGGCTCGTCTTTGCAGACAACCCAACGGAGGGAGACGACCTAAACTCGACTGTGTCGATATCATCTCCCATCTCCGCCCAAACCCACGGTTCGTCTGGCGCACCATCAACGCGGCCGTCGTCCCTGTCCGAAGATGAGAGCGGACTAGTAGACGACCCACAAAAGCGCCAGGGTACGCTAGAGTCCCAAGCTCCTGATCCCTTTGACGAAGAACAATCCGTCGACAGTACACCAACCGTGGTCGCTGACAGCACCACCCCCCCTCCACCCACCGACGCCTACAACGAACCCACGCAGGGTCCGCTAATCACCCAACGGGCGCCTTCTTTCGACGACGATGCAGACAGCAGCAGCAGCAGGAGGAACACGCTGAGGCCTGCCGGGGACGACACCCACGCCCGCCGCCGCTCGAACCGGGAGTCGACCATATACATGCCCTCAGATGCGGCAGCGCAGCCAGAACAGGGACCAGCGACAAAGCGCCAAAGAGAATCTATGCTGTTACCCGCTGGCTCAAAGAGGGACAGCTGGTTCGAATCCAAGGGGAAGCGCCGTGCACAGCTCGACCCACTCCACGTCAGTGCGGAAAACTCCGAAACCGAATATCTGTCCGACGACTCCTTCATGGAAGAGTTGCAGAGCGCTACAGTACATGAAGCCAAGCCTATGTCTGTGTCCAAGTCGCCCATCATGCCCTTCTTCCCACGCAAGTCACCGTCCCAAGCTGAGCTGTCGACACCCCCCAGGTCAGCATCGTCAAACTACCCTACTAGTCTTACGCGTCCCTCCCCCGAACAACAGCCTGCTCGCAAGGTATCTGGCGGCTGGCCGCCGCCACCACGGTCCGACACGTCGTCGGCTCCCAAGAAGATTAATGTTTCGTCTGGCATCTCACAAAGAATCAAGGCTCTTGCCGAAAAGACCAACAGGGAGTCGGCTTCTGTGAACCCTGCAGCCGCCACCCTGAGTGCGCCGAGTTCGTCTGTTGCCCAACGCAAGTCTTCTTTCTTTGCATCCTCGCCTCTTGACACATCGCCCAATGGATTGTCTGCCTCTCGCAATGGAAACACCTTGATCCGGCCGTCGTCTTCTGCCTCGATGATTGACAGGAAACCGTCGGGCCCAATCAAGTCAACCGTATACAACGTGCAACAGGGGCCCGAGAAGCCAGAGTCTGTTCAGGTTACTGCACGAATTGTTCGTGATGAGCGAACAATGAACCCCACCCTAGCCATGCCTACCGAGAGCACGCCGCTGGAACTCCACCAGAGCCCCCTGATTATTGACCACCAAATAGCCACTCCCGCACCCAAGAGCCCCCCTCAGCCGCCGAAACCGGAGACACCGGCCTCTCGAGACACTTCGTCATCACACTCTCGGGACCACAGTCTGGCACCCTCGCGGACGTCTTCGGAGAGCACATGGAGGACATTTGGTCGGCGGATGAGTGAGTCGAGGTCTGTTCACAGCCATGATGGCGACGAGAAGAAGGAAGACAAGAAGGAAAAGAAGGAGTCGCGCACGACCAAGATGTTCAAGCGCATGTCTTCATCCATGTCATCCATGCCCTGGAAGAGCTCGAGCAGCAGCCTGACACTTCCGGAGAACGACATGCGGTCGACATCGTTGTCGTCTCTTCGCGAGCCACCGCCTCCCATGCACGTTGGTGACTTGAATGTTCAATTTCCCGACACTTTGGTAAGTTGATTGTGTATACAAAGTTCTGATCGCCTGCTAACCTTGCACCAGCTCTGGAAGCGAAGATGGGTCGAGATCGATTCCATGGGCAACCTTGTCCTCAGCCCGTCCAAGCACAACGAGAAGGGAATCGTCAAGCGTTTCCACCTCAGCGACTTCCGCGCCCCATACCCTCCAGACCAGGACCGACAAGAGCTGCCCAACAGTGTTGTCTTGGACTTTGTTGATGGCCGAACGCTGCAGTGCGCGTGCGAGACACACACAGCGCAAGCCCAGGTTCTGCAAAGTAAGTTTATTGAAGTTTAATGATGCATGAAACATGCTGACAGCACATAGTCCTCCGTGAAGCGCACGATGCTTGGCTAGCATACAACCAGGCGCAGTAGAGCCCTTGCCCTACAGCACCTACACCCTCATTAGACTTTCTTTTACTCTCTCTCAGCCACCTGGATGTAGTAGCCAGCGACTCCTTATTCTCTTTGTCACGACGTACGACTACAGCATCAAGCACCACCCTTCTTTCCTTGTGTTGGATATAAAATGGTTCTACACTGGGGCTGTGTCATTTTCCTTGCCTAGTTTCTTCTCCTTTCTCTTCTCTTAGCACATTTTGTAGAGTTTTTTTTTCCTTTGCATACCCGTTTAGCGTTTGGGGGGAAAGTCCAGGGGGAGGCCATAGGGCAGGCTTGGAGCATCACCATCATCACCATTGTCACTACCAGCAATGCCTTCTTGTTTTCTCTTCTTCTCCCGTTTCTGGCACAAGGGGACCAATTTGTATAATATTTAATGCTGCACTGGAAGGCAGACTGGCAGATAGCTGCTGGTACTTTTCAGTCCAGGGCGGCACATATAGTCTGAGACGGCTAGAATGCAAGAGAGCATTAGTCCTCTTTTGAGCGGCTGTGCAGCTGGTGTGCTTTGGAGTGCCATGTGATTATTGCGTTACCATGTGCTTGCTTGTCGGGTGGCGGCGGGCTGGGCGTGGGTTGGCGGGGCTGGTCGGCCAGGGTGGAGTAAGCGAGGCGAGTGCCTGGCGTCGTCATACAAGCATCGTGCATTTGATGGATGCGAACATGTGCCAGGACAAGAGGGCAGCAATGGGTCATGATGCTCTGCGCAATAGGGCCTACTCTTGCCCCCTGGCTCTCTCCCACCTGCGCTGCGCTGCTCTGCTCCTCGTGCTCTCTGTCTACACACACCGGCTATAGTCTGCGCTCCAAGACACCCAAGAGCCGCCGACATCTATCGAAACGCGCCCCGTAAACTCCGCACTCCGCATGCACATGTCCAGGAACCGCTGTCACAACCTCTCCTACACACACGCACACCACTCCTTGGCCTCGGGTCCCGCTGCCACAGCGCATCCTGCAGCGACCACGCGTCAATCGAGCGAATAGCCCTCCCGTTTAGGCTACCACATCCACTATCCCACCGTGCCTCAGCCTGCCAACCGTACAAATAAGCAACTCTGTCACCCGCTTGGGGCTCTCCTCGAACCATGCCGACGTCTTCGTCTGTCCACCCGTTTGCCTCTCCCAACGCCATCCCGCCCCGCACGAGCTCCACGGGCATCCTGAACCCTAGCCCCGGCAGCCCCAAGCAGCCACCCTCGAGAACATCGGTCCTGCGCCCCTTGAGCGAGATTGACTGGCTGGGCCAGAGCAAGAAGAGCAAGACAAGCCACTCTGCCGAGCCGCTGAACGCCCATCTACAAGAGCAGCAGACCGCGCCCCACTTGGCCTCCAACAAGTCCCCGTCGGCCACCGACGACATCGACTCCCACATGGACACCACGACCACAAACCACGATGTCGGCGCAAACTACCCTACCCCACTGTCTCCGCCCTCGGAACACTCCAAGGGCATAGGCGAGGAGCTCATCTACGGAAATGGCGTCGCGTGGACAGAGGAGAAGGAGCGCATATTACTAGGGCCATACGACTACTTGTACGGACATCCGGGCAAAGATATCCGCAGCCAATGCATAGCTGCCTTCAACCTGTGGCTTAAAGTACCGCCGGAAAGACTCGACATCATTACAAAAGTGGTGGGAATGTTGCATACCTCGAGTTTGCTGTGTGTATCTTCACCAACGTACTCTTCGACTTGACCGCTGACTGTTACTCCTTTCCTCCAGTGTCGATGATGTAGAAGATTCGTCTGTCCTCCGCCGCGGTATTCCCGTCGCTCACGCAATATTCGGCACGCCCCAGACCATCAATTCGGCCAACTACGTCTACTTCCGTGCCCTCGCCCTCCTGCTCTCCATGAACAACCCCAAACTCATCGAGATATTCACCGAGGAGTTATTGAATCTGCACCGCGGCCAGGGCATGGATCTCTACTGGCGAGACAGCCTGACCTGCCCCAGCGAAGCAGACTACCTAGAAATGGTCGGCAACAAAACAGGCGGCCTCTTCCGCCTAGCCATCAAACTCATGCAAGCAGAGTCGCAAACAGAAATGTACTGTCACCTCCCCTCCCCCCTTGTTATTATTCCTGATGACTAACAATCCAAACAGCGACTGCACTCCCCTCGTCTCAACCATCGGCCTCCTCTTCCAAATCCTAGACGACCACCTCAACCTCTCCCCTACCTCCGGCTACACCTCCCTCAAGGGCCTCTGCGAAGACCTCACAGAAGGTAAATTCAGCTTCCCCGTCATCCATGCCATTCGCGCAGACCCCTCCAATACTATTCTTATCAATATCCTCAAGCAGAAGACGACGGATGAGGAGGTGAAGAAGTATGCGCTCAGGTATATGGAGAGCAAGGGCAGTTTTGAGTATAGCAAGAGTGTGGTGGCGGAACTGAGGGCAAAGGTTGAGGATCATGTGCAGAGGATTGAGAGGGTACTTGGAGAGGAAGGGAGGGAGGGAGCCGAGGCATTGAGGGTTATGCTAGGGAGGTTGGTATTGAGGTGAGGGAATACCTTTTTGCGAATTTTTCAGGCGGAGGGGGGGATGTTAATAGAGGTGTTTTGTGGCTTGATTGATCTAAGATGATGATGATGATGATGACGAATGAATCTTGTTTACGGCCTTGGAATAGTCTTGAGACGAAAATGGTATACCCAGATTTTTTTCAATACAATTGTCATGTTTAAGAGTAAATAATTCTGTTTTTTTTTCTTAATCTGGTATTTCTTGTATTGAGCTATGAAATAAGAAAAACTTACTCCTTGTTCCATGCTCGTAGAATGAATCTGTGAAGAAAATAGGTGATACCATATGCCAAACGCCAGTATCATAATGCAGACGCTGTCGCTCTCAGAATTCCAAATATCAATGTGATTCCTTTCCCTTGCAAACTCCAAATTCCAAACTTATTGTCTCGGCTCCAAAACAATACACTCAAGACTTGACCTTCTTCGCCATCTTGTTCTTTGACTTTTTCAGAACCATATCCCGATGCTCATCCAAGCACTTTGCAAGTTCAGCCTTGAAATGCTTCGCCTTTTCCTTAGGCGTAGGTACCGACTCGTCCGAGTTGCACGACACCCAAGAATCCGACAAGGCCGTCTCATCCAACGTCACAACATCGAGAGCTGCACCGTGCTTGCCTTTTGCCGCGCTAACAGCTTCCAGCCAGGGAAACGCATCGCGGTAAAACTGGTCTGCTGCGCGGCGCGGAGAGCAGTATTTGTTAATGTGCACATGGACAACCAACGAGGTGAGATTGGTGGCCCAGGCGAGGGCGGCAAAGCATGCGTTGTTGTAGACTTTCAATCCGCGGCTGTGGAGCCAGCCTAGAACCCGGAGCTTCTTGAGGCGCTGGGCACGCGCAGGCCCAAGGTTGATGAGGAAGCTGTAAAGTGCGAAGCTGTCGGCGAAGGTAAGTTGGTTGCCGTACAAAATGTCGATGCCCTCGCTGTAGATTTGCTTGTTCACGGCGAGTAGTGATGGCACAAGAGGGGTGTAGTTTCCATCGGCATCGAGAACGTCTTCGACTACGCGTTTAGAGGTTGGGCTGTCGTATCTGCCGCCGCTTGACGGGTATTTTGTTGACACGCGGGTGGCGACGCGGCGCTTTTTATGATACGTGCCGACAAATTTGATGCCGGATGGGTCGCAGAGCGTATAGTTATAGATAGTATTCCTGATCTCCGCAGGAAGGTCCAAGAACGGAAAGATCTTTCGCTTTGGAAGTGGTTTGGTTGTTTGGGCTTTGGGCTTCTGGTAAAGCTCCGTTAATATAGGCCACCCTCGTGCACGCAGCAGTGCATCGCACCTTTGCTTGAGGGCTCTCAAACTCAGACTCCGTGTCTGAGTATTCCAGATCGTCAAGATGGTATGAGACTTGCGTCCTCTTACGCTTCGAGTAGCGACCAGACGCAAACGTCTCTGCAGAAGCTATGGCGGCAGACATGATGGGTTGAGTGGAGTTTCTAAACCAATTAGTTCGAGAAAAGTTGAGATGCAATTGAGTGTAGTTGAAAATGGAAATGCGCCTCTGTGTTGCTTTAATAGAATCACTGTGGTGAGTATCGCAAAGTCAAGCGTAGTTTACTTTGGGACTAGTGTAGGCTGCAATGCGGAAATGCAGGGATTAGCAAGGCATCAACTCGACGGCGCAGGCATCGCCTGGTAATATCGGTAGAGGTGGAGATTGCACAGCCTTGCCAAAGCTTTACATGTAAGCAATTGACGGTTGGTGGCAAGCCTTGACGTAGAGGTGGGGAAAGAGAGAGTGAGAGAAGGGAAGGTCGAGTCCCAATGGCGTCACTCCGCGCGCTTAGTCAAGCACCCCACTAACCGTAATGAGAGGGCAAATTATCATTCACCATCACCCGCAAAATGTCTTCAATACGATCGCTCACGTCTTTTAAGCTCGACTTACCTCCCAGCTGTATCGAATTCTTTCCGCTCAACCCGCAGTATGCAGTAGTCGGCACTTACAATCTTGAAAAGTCCGATGAGAAGGATGCCGCAGGGAGCGCTCCCCAGGATGGAAAAGTCAGTGCCAAAAATCAGCAGCGCAACGGCAGCTTGATATTGGTAAAGGTAGACGGCGACAACGTGTATGTAGAGCATGGTTATTCTCAGTTTTCAAGCTCACGTAGTGATATTCACGTGCTGACTCCCGAAGCAACATTATTCAGACTCTGGCCACGCCATCAGCCATCCTAGACATTCACTTCTTGACGCATGTCACAAGTTCAAACTTTGGTGTTGCAACTTCAACAGGAGCCTTCGCCATCTACGAGCTCCAGTCGTGGCAGCGCAACCCTAGCATCAGCCACATCAAGACCATCCAGTATTTCCCTGAAGATGTACTCATCACTGCCTTTTCATGGCACCCAGAGTCATTTATGGTCGGCATGACGCTCTCAAATGGGCAGGTTTGTCTTGGTGTAATCGACACGGAAAGCGAAGATGACTCCCCCACTAAGCTAGAGGTTGCTACGCATGACTTGGAAGCGTGGACTCTGGCGTTCCTTCCTGATGGCTCCGGGCTACTCTCTGGAGGTGACGATAGCACGCTGCGTTTTGCTGAGCTTTCTGATGGCTCTGGAGGTAGTGTGCCTTGGATGGATGGAAAGATCCACGGTGCGGGTGTTACTGCTATTCTTCCCGTACACTTGGATACCCAGGGCCTGCTCGTTATTACTGGTAGCTACGACGACCACTTAAGACTTGTCCACATCCCAATTTCCGGACGCAGGCAAGTTCTTGCAGAGACCAATCTCGGAGGTGGAGTTTGGCGGCTCAAGCTGCTTGATCGGAACCCGAAGCTGCCAGAGCACCACGGTGTGGAGAAGTGGAGGTCGGAGCCACCTCCTGAGGCTATCCTCTTGCTTGTCAGCTGCATGCATGCTGGTACGAGGATTGTCAGGCTCACAAAGAGTGCTGGAGAGTGGAAGATTGAGGTATTGGCGAAGTTTGAGGAGCACGAGAGCATGAACTACGGTAGTGACTCCCAACCCGGGCTAAATACCCAAGGTCAGCGGACATACATATCCACGAGCTTCTACGATCGTTTGCTGTGCTTGTGGAGATACTAGATAGACAGTACATGAATGTATGGAATCAGACTTCAAAACAAGGGGTGGTAAATAAAGTTCCTGATAAAATTGCCATGGAGACTAAACTAAGAAAAACATGAAGAAAAACAAGATATTAACCATCCTTGATGATTTAACTGTCACAATCAGTCCCAGTAAGGTCAAAACCTTTCCAATCAATATTGTCCATGTTGAAATCACAAACACCAGCGAAGTCCTGCTCAATGCTATTTTGGCCCAACTCCCCCACCTTGGCACCGTCGCCCTCGACACTACCCGTGTCGACATTTTGAAGAAGAGAAGAATCGGGGATGTGACCTTCCCCATTTGTGAAACCGGTGTTTCCGGTGAGAATTGTGTCGTGAGTGTTGGATCGCGTTCTTGCCTCTTCGTCGATCCATGTCTGGGGAACCGCCAACTGTCCGAAGGAAGAGGCGGGAATCTGGCTTGGGCCCGACACACAGGGCTGGGCCTCCGCTTGTTGCGGAATTTGCTGCGCGAGCGTAGGTTGGAGTTGGGTGAGGAGGGGGAGGGAGAGGGAGCGGTATGCTTCTGGGATTGGCGGTACCATTTCGACAGCACCGCTTTCGTAGACTCGAACGTGTTCGCGAGAGAAATCCATCGTCGTCGTCGGAACCGCTTGGTACCCAACATCGTTGGGCCCGTTCTCGACAACGGCCAGCTTGTTGAGCTGGTATGCTGAATATGTGACCCCAGGTGGGGTCATGTGGTCGCCGAGGTTGCTGAAGCCAACTTGTTGTGGCATGACAAGTTGGAACATTGGAGCTCCGTTGCCGTAGAGCTCTTCAATCGTCATCGGCCAGATTGGATGGCCGCTTGATGGGTATGGCACCCATACGACGCCGAAAGGCAGTAGCTGCTCCTCTGCAGAAACTCCTTGTCGCGTCCAACTCGAACCGTTGGGCACAATTTTCATGTGGCTACCGCTTTTGGTGCGGTAGTGACCGGGGGCAGGCTGATGGTTGGTGTTTTTCAGGAGGGCCTGATAGGCCTCGAACTCTTCACTAAGGAGCTTGGCCTTCTCCAGCTCCGCTTGCTGCTGGTTCTTGTGCGCGATCGTTTGGTTCTTCATCTTGGAGTATTTGGAGACCATTCTGAAAAGCTTGTAAAGGGGTGCTTCACTTGGTCTTCGGTTGGTGGTGTTGGTATGAAAGGGATTTGTGGTGGTGTTTGGCTTGATGGGAGTGCTTGTGTGATGGTATTGTGAGATGGAGAGATGGGAATTCTAGGAGGGAAATTCCCTTCCTTTATATCTACAAGAACAGATAGATACTTGCACGATGCAAAAATACCCAATATGGAAGTACGACTCATCACTGTAATGATCCAGTAACATGTAATCGTTCAATACATTATGCCCCAAAGTCACTATTCTAGACATAATCAGAATCAACGACATTGGCCTGTATAAAAAGAACATCTTCGTTGGCAGGGAAGCACATGCAACACGTTGGAACATTAGAGCAATCAACCATTCTTCACACAGCATTAACTTGACGAACCTTGGATTCTCATGTCAGAAAATAGTTCAAAAAGGTCATTCAGGCTTCTATTGCATCAAATCATCGTGAGATCCATGAGAAACGGATGGCATATCTGGGAGTAACCGCTTGAAGATGGTGCTTATGACTCAACAGGGGATATTGGTGGGCGGTGAAATCATCAAGTAAATGCCGCTCGCACTTGGACAATGGAACATGGCGACTACGAACAGAAAACGAGCGACGTCGTGGACGAGGTAGACGCCAATCAATATATTTCAGCGCAAGACAGAAGACACATCTGCCATGCCTACTGGCTGGCAGATGTTACAAAGTCATCGTGAGGTGAGGGAATCATGGTCCTCCCGATTCTTGCCTGAGACAGGGAGGTTGAACCAAGGTTAAAAGTGTATACAAATAATGCATATGGGTTCCGGCCCTTGATCGAATCGACGAGAAACAGGGAAATAAGGACGCCACAGGCATATGCTTGTTGAAAAGGCAAGAAAAAAATATGTAAACAAATACACGGGGTTGAATTTTTGTGAGAGTGAAATAGTTATCAACAATATCATAGGCGAATGTGAGACATGTGATAACGAGCGAACTATCTTTTATCGTGTTTGAAAACAATATGTATTCCACTCGCTTACTATCTAAAGAGTCTAAAATGGATATGCCCAGCGCCCAACGCTAATGCTAAGATGCAAAATATCAGAAATATGGGTATCGTAACACGTAACGCAACGCCGTAAATGACAACAAAATACCGCAGGCTCCTCATCTTCTCGCTGGTAACGACAACATGCCATCTGGAGGCGCCTCAATCGCCCTGCCATCCTTCTCAGCCAGCAGTGCCTTGACCCTCTCAACTCTACTGACGGCTTTCTCCAGGCGATCCAACCGTCCCATCTTCTCTCTATCCCTACGCTCTAGCGTCTCGATCCGCTCCTCTAGCTTCGCTCTTGCCCGCCGCTCTTCAGCAACCATCTCGTTCGCCTGGCTAAACAGCTGCACGCTCAACTCCTCAATCTCCGTGTCGACCGTCTGCACGCGCGCCTCAGCTTTTGCACGAAGGGCCCGCTCCCGCTCGAGCTCGTTGATTAGCGCATGATCGTCCTTCGGCGGAGGTGGCGGGGGCATGGCTCCTGTGTTCGCCGGAGAAGGGAAGCGGTTTGTGATGAAGGAGAAGCGCGAAGCCCTTGTCGAGTTTGCGGTGTTGGGACGTGGGGGATCGGCGTCCACGGAGGGGCGCGGTAGGGCGCCGTTGAAGGGCTTGTCGGATTGCGAGGTTTGTGAACGCAGTGGGCTGGGAGCCCGCTGGCTGTCTTTCAGAACGCGTATTTGGTCCTCGTAATCCGCACATCTATCGACTGAATGCCTGTTAGTCTATGTATGTAGACTTGTGGGTAGTGCCTGCTCGGCGCATCTTTAGGCACGTACCAGCTGCAGTGGCCTTCTCCTTTAGTCGTTCCATCTGCGCTTCCAGCTCCTCTATCTTTCGCCTTGCTTCTTCGAGCTCTTTCGTATTCAAGCTATAGCCACATGACGGACAGTTGTGCGTATGGGTATCATTTGCGGTTTCTTTGGCAGGTTGTGGCGACGCGGGCGGGGAGACTTCGAGGGCTGCTGCCATGATACCAGGCGCGCGAGGTAGGAATTAGGTTTGGCGGTGTTTTTGGTTGACAGATTCGCGGCAGGTGGACAGAATATAAGGAGGGAGTGGGGTATGTCCTGTCGCGTGGTTGTTGCAAAGGACCCTTGTGGTTTCAGCGTCAGCGTGATCATCGAACCCCTGTCACCCATGGCCAATGCAGGGTCCCCCCGCGCTAAATCCATTTACGGTCTGGGTGGCTCGGCCCGCGGGGAATATCCCAGGCGTCATACGCACTTTAATCGAGCTACAAGTGAATGCACAGCACCCACCATTTGTAAAGAGAGTGATCCTTATGTGTTCTGTTTCTCTCTGCTTCATCTTTTCCAATTTGAAAGAGTTCACCGTCCTCGGTCCGATCTAAATACGAATCTATGAACCATACAGCCGGGAAACTAAATTTAGATGAAGCTTCTTAGGCGCCAAACTTCTAAGCAAACCTAAGAGAGCCATTCATCTTTACAGTTAGCCGCTGGTTATTTCTACATTTCATGCCTTAACGTATTGAGATGGCTTCAAACTATACGTTACGCGAATATAGCCTTGTTCACTTCTTTTTGTCCCCGAAGCTTTGTCCGATCTCTTGCTGGATGCGCCTCCCCATTCTTTGAAACCTGCCAGAAGATCACGCTAAACACGCCCTTACCCATATTTCTCTACTTCAAACCATGCGCCAAGCTACCCAAGACCAAATTCTGCAAATGCAGCGGCTTCGTGTGCCAGGCAGATTTGGTGGTTTTCTTGATCTCAATGTTGAGTCTTCGCATGTTTGCAATGACACTGTTTGCTTCAAATTGTTTCAGGAGCTCCTAAATTCCCAGATAAGCAGTCAATTTGGCTTCTCTTTAAAAATATAGCCGAGTAATGAATTTACCACACTACGCTCGAATATATGGTTTCAACAAGGCCTTCTTTCGTGGAGTATGTAAAACTCATGCTCTGATTCAATTAACCAGTTCTAGGCACGGAAGAACAGCAAAAGAGACGTCGCATGAATAACGACTTGGCTATCTTCCGAAGTTCCTGCTCATCACGAGATAAGTATTGACTAAGCTTAAGCAGCATACTTGATACGTTAAGAGGCGATTCAGTTTAGGAGAAAAACATTACTTCTCAATTCTTTATCTTGATATGGGTATTCAAGCTAAGTTTTCCTTAATCATGATCCTTATGGATACGATCTGCTATCTGTGTGCCAGGGTGTTCATCAATGCACACCCCGTGCGAGATTGTCCTTATTATCTCGTCTTTCTCAGGCTGTTGGGCCTCCTTCAGTATATACTTATCGTTGTCGCGATCATTGTAGTTTTTCGACCGCGTTCGCTCGCGCGTGGGCTTACTGCCAATTGTAAATTGCTTACTGATACTGAACATAGGTAGGCCATTGTTATAGGGACAATTATCCGGGTCGGTAACTAGAAAGGAGGAAGGTAGTATGCGATCGAGCATGGAGTCAATTGGTTTTCCCAGAGGTGGCAAAGATGCAACGAGCACACCAACTGAGAGCTCACACGCTGACCATATGTTCAGGTTACTGCCCTCCCAGGTTGGATCGCGTGTCTTCTTCAAAGCAGACATTTCAATTGTCTTAGCTATTGAGCACGCTGTTGCACTGTCCATAAGTCATATCATTTGATCCTATGAAAAATACCCGTAGACTCACATCGAACCTAAACAAAAGACAATTCGAAGCCTCCATTTCGCGCGTTTGCGTAGCTGGAGGGTTGATAAATATACAATTGGTGCAGCGATGTAAACGAGGTCAGTGACGCAATTCGAGACACCCTAGTGCGGTATGAGTGAGGCATAATCAGCAAGATAAGGGCTTTCGACGAACCTGAGTATACGTGATGGTTTCGTTTGGCGTCATGAAACATTTTGATTTCACACTCTTGTTCCAGTTTGCTTCGAAAGGTGTCCGGCAGAACATACCCATGACGGGAAGGACAAAGTTCAGAGTCGTGACCATGAGAATTGAGGCCCACACTATTGCGAGATAAACTCGTGAGAATCTCATCAGAAGAAGATATGAACAAATGGAATACTTGAGTATCGCAACAGCTATTATGTTGATCGTTTGACCAATCCAGAGGTAATAGCTGTACTGGAGGATATCATAGGGCTTCCTGATGCTAGGATCCATGATATGACGACCTTGGCCATGGAAGCATGTTCTGTATCTGACTCCTGTTGCCACAATGCTGAGTATCTAGAACGCGTACCAGTTAAATCACGAGTCTATGGGTAAATAAAAAGACTAACCGCTGCAATAGTCATGAGACAGTCACTAAGACTGAGTTTACGACTACATCTGATGGTGTAGCTGATTCTCCATGCGAGCACTAGAGTACTCAACACACACAAGATGGTTGTGGGGACTAGTATGTTCGGGGCTCGGTCTGGCCAGTGCTTTTGTTGTGGTTCTGACATAGTAGGCAGATATGATAGATGTGTCGTTGCATCAAGAGGATAAATTCAATATCGAAACGCGATATGGGAAAACGTTCGGCACAACATAGCGTATGATGAGCTCCAGGACACTGGGAACTCTCTAGCAACGTTTGTTGGACAGGCACAACTCATTGAAATCCATGAAGTAATGACTCGCAGTGCAGCATTATACCAACCTTCCAACCCATTTGGCGCCCAGTTCCCCCCTCTCGCGCTTAGCTAGCGTGCGGCTCAGCAGATCGACTATCTTCCGTTTCCCGCTTTCGCGGCTTCCCGCTGATAAAATCGCACCAATATCAGGCCTTCGCGATGTGTTGGTTGATGTTTGCTGCCTGATCTCCACGTAATCTCCATCTCGGTTACTGTGGCACAGAAGAAACCTCCTGTTGCAGATATACTACTCAACTATCCTTGTTATATTCGTTAAGCACTAGGACGCAGAGCAAAGCCTGTAGGTGCAGTATGGCTAGCCTATATACCCCCCTTGCTATGCCTTATATCTATCTCTTTCCGAGTGTCAAATATGACGAGTCTTTGCATTCTCACGGTGTAATAAGAATTGCCATCGGATAGAATGAAGGCCATGAAACCTAACTTGGCAGGTAAAAATTGACGGACATAACATGAACGTAATGGGTAGGACGGGATTTACTAGCGAGCTAGATCTGTAATGCGAAGGTAGTGCACCTAGCAGCTTGGGAATCACAACACATTTGCTGCAAATGGATGTTGGTTCACTCTCTTGGCAGTTACACCGACCCTCTCCAGTATCGTTCCATTCTTGATTAACTAGTGTTTTTTTCGGCCTCTGGTGAATGCTGTTCTGGAAAAATTGTGTTCATCTTAGTCTTTCTTCGTTCTGTCGACAGCCGAGCGCTATGTAAATGAGTGCAGGCTCATTTTGCTGCGCGGAAGTCATCATCCGGACGCCATTACAGTTCGAAGGAGCTAGTTTTTAGTGAGGAGTCACCTGATCTGTGCTCTCATCTTCCTTAACCAAAACACTACCTTTTTGTCGCAGAAGTATTGTAAGAAACTAGAAAACCTGAGAGGTGACCAAATCGGTTAACTTTTGATTAGCACGATCTCTTTTAAACGATTCCATTACCTCTTTGTCTCGTTGTTTTGCTGTTTTGGGCGCACTCAGTCTGGAGTGGGTGCATGGGCCATACGATTCTTCACTCGAAACGAACTTCTTCGTATCTAGGGAAATTACTGCAAATCCTTCCGCTTGCGACATGTGACAGGTCTGGGTGCGCCGCATACACGACCAGCGAATCATCGTCATGCAGAGTCAGGTGTGGGGGTTGCCAAGACCCGTTGTCCCGTCCCATTCATCTCCTCATCGCGCATTCCGTACTAATGATCTTCGTTCGTCTCGAACAGGAACTGCTAACCATGGAAGAACATGAAAGAGGAAAACACGGCCGATACGAGCTGAAACAATGGCGTTGAGGGGTTGACGGTAGAATTGTAGCCCAGCTGTGGACCCTCAAGCCCTGCAACGACTTTGCCGCAATATGGATATGTAAGTCGGCCAGGTCGTACCGTCCCAATCCCTCAAGTCGTGGCGCAATATGTGACTGCGCTCAACTGCAGCAAAGACATGACGTGTGGCAAATGCCATGACAACTTTCAATTGTTGACATGCATAGGTACAATCCGGCAGTTTTCTGGTAGCTACTTCGAAATGTACAGTCCTTGCAACCGAGTGGTGGAATGATGGGTGGGTGGTGTAGCGTAGGCAAGTTATAGCTCGCGTCTATCAAGGCTGGTTTGTCAACCTAACTTTCCTGTCATACTAGTATTGGGTGCTCTTCCTCTCGACATCGCGACTGATCCACATGTTTCATCTGAGGAGCAAAACAGGCGTGCTACCACGAAGGCGTTGAACTAGTCAAAATCGCTTGGCCCCAAGGGCCGTTCTTCAGCTAGATCTCGGGCGAGATATGCATGTAGGAACGCGTTGCCACGCGCTAAGATTCACATGGCTAGTTCACAAATCCCATCTACCACGTGCTCGGTGACTTAATACTACCGATGCTAATCAGGATGCAAACCCGACTCATGTTTTAATACCAAATTTATGCACGTACATATACCGACATGAGACTAGAGATTGCGAAGGAAGCCCGTGTAAAGAGTTAAAGAGTCTTTACGAATCTGCTTCTCGATACCTTGTCAATTCCTCCATGACTCTTCGCAGGTCTTCCCCTAAAGGTACAGTTTAGACCATCTGGAAGAGATGCATTCCTTCAAGATCATAACAGTCGCTGCTCTGCTCGGGCTTTCAACGGCCCGAGAGACCTACGACTACGTTATCGTCGGAGGCGGCATTTCTGGCTTAGTTGTTGCCAACCGCCTTTCCGAAAATAATAAGAGTGAGATTAAGATATTCAGATACTTGAACAAAGCTAATTTTGTGAACTTTAGAGACGGTCCTACTCATAGAAGCCGGCGGCGCAGATGACAATCCAAATATTCGCATTCCCCGTGGCGCCACTTATGCACTCAATGAGTCTCTTCTATGG